TGGTCTGCTATGGTGGTCTGCTATGGTGGTCTGCTATGGTGGTCTGCTATCAGAACTTCTCCATGAAGTTGAATTCCTTTCTCTAAAGAGTTAAATTATTGAGCTTTATAGTTTATCCTCATTAACAAACATTCTTATATCGAACGTCTAATTCGTATAAATCCGATCGATGGTTTATCTCCCTGATCCAGACTGACAGACTGAATCTCTTTTATTATATGAAATGGACCCAAATGGACTAAAATAATCGGCAGATGAAGTTACGATTTAGATGAGTTCTAAGTTTAAACTGCGTTTAATCTGCTCACTAACTTGTAGGGAAGCAGGCAGGTTTCAGTAAAATGAAGGAAGCATAAAAACGTCTCCCTGCAGAAGCTGCGCTACCAGTTTAGCGGAGGAAGAATTTCCCTCAGGGAGGCGACCTCACAGCAGCGCCGCCATTATCCACGTCAGCTGTCAGACTAAAATAACTGCTGTGGATTCTTCTTCTTCTTCTTCGTTGGTATTTGGTAGCTTCTCTCTCTGGACTGGCATCAAAAACAGGAACCAAACATTAAAACGAACCGGTTAGCATGGTTAGCATGGTTAGAGGAAGCAGCGTCAGCTTCAATCAATGATCCGCAGCACATTTTAGGGATTAATTAGACTAAAGAAATAATCAACATCAGAGTTAAAAACGCTTTTATTGGTGGATCTCTAATGACTGACTGTGGGAACCTGGGGGCCTCCATTGGCTCCTCTTCCTGTAAACCAGCTGAATTCACTCTTTGATGTTTTTCGAAATATTTATATATCTGCATGTTTGCTGTTTTCACTGAATAAACTCCAGTTTCCCTGAAGCTCTCCTTGTTCTGTTGTAATTAGCAAAGTTTAGCCGCTGATGGTTTTCCTTCTCTGTGATTTTCCAGTGAGCGACATGGACAGCTCCGTCACCCTGTGGCAGTTCCTGCTTCAGCTCCTGTTGGATTCCAGCAACCAGCAGCTGATCTGCTGGACCAATGAGGAAGGGGAGTTCAAACTGCTGCAGGCGGAGGAGGTGGCCCGGCTCTGGGGGGCCCGCAAGAACAAGCCCAACATGAACTACGACAAGCTCAGCAGGGCGCTGAGATACTACTACGACAAGGTACTAGCTGTGATGCAGGAGGAAGCAGTCAGGGAAGCTGTGATGCAGCAGGAAGCAGTCAGGGAAGCTGTGATGCAGGAGGAAGCAGTCAGGGAAGCTGTGATGCAGCAGGAAGCAGTCAGGGAAGCTGTGATGCAGCAGGAAGCAGTCAGGGAAGCTGTGATGCAGCAGGAAGCAGTCAGGGAAGCTGTGATGCAGCAGGAAGCAGTCAGG